AAAAAAAAAAAAAAAAAGCCTTCATAGGACAACAGAAACCAGCTAAAAGCTTCATTTCCTATCATCTTCCTGTGTAGCCTGGCCATGCTTAGGAAATAGGGAGCTTTACCCTTTCTACTTGATTAAGTTGCTGCAGGAAGGAAGATTGTAATCTCACCTCCAGATCCATAGGCTTCTGCTAGGAGCATGTTGCCGATGAGGAATGTTTTCACCCAGGCCAAGAGCATCCTCCTCTCCTTCGTCTTGCAGGTGACTGACCAACCAGTGCCCAGCCGGGGTCCCCTTGGCGTCGGCTCTGCCTCCCAGTCCCAGCCTTGCAGTCAGACCTGCCCTTGTTATGCTCTTCTGGTAAACAGCCTCTCTTTAGAACTGGGAGCTTCCCAGCCAGCTTGCTGCAGCGAGGTGTTTTTCAGCTGAAAGGCGCCCCCTGGGTCCTAAGCCTCCTATGCCAGGCAAGATCACTAAGCCAAGAGAGAAACTCCCCCCAGAGAAGAGAGAGGCAGAGTTCAGGTTGTGCTTAGCAGAAGATCAGTTTGAGACCTACACTGACTGCATCCTCAGGGCTTTTCATCTCTTCTGTTTCCATTTGTGTGAGTACAGAAAGAGTAACTCTGTCAAGAGGCATCATTGTGGGGAGAAGGGTTTGAAATTATAGTCACAAGGGTGGACAATGTGCTAACTACACTAGTAGGAGGAATTCAAGACCACATAAGGGGCACAAAAAAGAGTATCTAGGTGGAAGTAACTCTTTATACTCATTCCTGAGAAAGAAAAAGGGCTTTTGTGGTTTATATGTTTTTATGAACTTAAAAAAAAACAACAGTATGACATTGCCAGGGTCAGATCAGTCACTTTCCTTTGTTTATATTTTTGGAGTGTCATACATATTAGGTATACAGAAGAGGTCTCTTTAGTTTAAAACACATGTTAGGCAAACGTTGGGACATTTGCTCAGCTATATTTAATAGTCTACCCTTTCTACCAGCCCTGGATTCATAGAGGAAGTTAAGTCAAATGTTTGCTTTTTTTCCCCCCCTCCACCCTGTGGGAAATCCATTCACAGTGATTTATATCCATCATTAAACCTCACCACATACATATGACTTAGGCCTTTTGGAGTTAGGCAGAAGGGTCCTCTTCCTGTTTGGCTGACAGTTTGAGTTCCCAGTTTGAAGCCTCAGTAAATGTGGAGACAGAACAGAGTGATTCTCCAGGACTACCTTGTGACTCAGGCAAATCTCAAAATAGAAATGAGAGACTGTTTCGATCGGAGGGCTTGTATCTTTAGGCAGTAATTTAGGGAGCAGAAAAAAAAAACTTCCTTAAATAAGTTTCAAAAGCTTTATCAAGGAAGAAAGCTAATGTCAATCCAACCACCGTGAAGTGAATTTGAATTTACTACCGTCAGATTTCAGACGTGGAAAGGACAGAGATAAACTTAGTTTACTTTTTACAGAAGTTTGCTGACTGTGTTTGATTCCTTCAGTCCCTTTAATAAAACATGTTGCTTTGTTTTTGCAGTCACACTCCTGTCTCCCCACACAAACTTCTGATCCTCTGACTCCTGACTTGCCCTATGCTAGAAATTACACAGAGTCTGTAAATTTAGTCACATGTATATATATATACACAGATATGCCAAAATTTTATAATAATTTTCACATATTCAGGGGTCTTTTTAAAAACACTTTTATTAATTTTACAATTTTTTGAGAACTTACTGCATACTAGATATAGTTCCAGATACTGAGAAGTTGTCTGTGAATAAAATACTTGAAATCTCTGCCCTTACGGAGCTTACAATCTAGTAGGGAAAGATAAAGGATAAATATATAAAGTGTCAGGTGGTCTTAAGTGTTATGAAAAAAAAAAGTGAAAGGATCAAGGAGAGAACAATGGGGTGTATTTCACTTGCTAAAGAAAGCTTACACTATTTTCAGGGAACCAAAAGGCTTTTTCTGTAGGCAGAAGGCCAAAGAGGAGGTCCTTTTTCCTTGCAGATCCTACTCTTACACCACTACAAGAGAAATATGATACACATTTTGTTTCATTACATAAAATATATAGGTTTGCAAAAATGAGAATGCAGTTTATTATTACTATTTTCTGAGAATGCAGTTTTTAATTTCACAGCAGCAGGGGGTTCTTTTGGATTGATTCCTCAGCAGCTAATCTATTGCCTTTGTATGCAGTGAGTGCTCAATTATTGTCTGATGAAAAGCTCTTCAGACTCTGAAGGGCTACTTCTGCCAGATTATAATTCTTTCCCCTCCAGTTACAATAGAGACAGGCTATGCACAAGCCTGTAGTACCATTTTCAGATTATCTACTGGGTCCATATAGAGGTGCCAGTATTTCTTCCTCAGAATCCCAAAGCTTCTTTACCTGTTTCTGTTATCGAAGTTTCCTATTCAGAAAACTACTATCTGCTGTAATTTACACACCTTGATATACAGAAAAAAACATATTTTGTGCCATGTGTCTTATCAGGTACAGAAGATATAAGGTACAAAAGATATAAGACAGGCCAGAGGAGATTTTTTTCAGTTTAGTCATCTCTTTTTTTTCTCGCCTGTAAGGTATTTATCAGTGTGATTTGATTTTTTTCAGGAATGATAGGCATGTTTCTCAGTCCTTCAAAGACGTATTCTATTATAATAGGTTGAGTACCTTCTTTCCTCAGGGAAATTGGACTTAGTTAGAGATGTGCCTTTCATCATCATTGACGATGTTTTGGTCTTTTTCTTGATCTAGTTTTGAACTTTGTGTCATGTATTGAAGCAATATGGCTATATTTCATGACCTGTAGTTACTCCAAATTTCACATTTCTTCTGGAAATATTCCTGCAATAATAATATGATACAGCACTACTCATATACTCATTTTGGATTGTTTATATCCCTGAGGACAATGTTGTGAATACAATAGTCTTACTAAATATTTCAGGGATGTTTGACTCTTGGTTTCATATTAAATCAGTACTGATCCAGAGAGACAAAGCCGTATTGTTAACTCAGGAAATAGCCTCCAAAGCATTTCCCAAGAAAGATGGGCAGTTCATCTTGATAACAGAGTATGTTAGTGGAAGGGCTCTGGTAAGGAAGCCATAAAGCTGTTAAAAGACATGAATCTTTTGTCAGCAAAAGAGGGCTAACGTGTTGGTAAAAATCTTTGGAGTAAGATCTAATGAGTTGACTCCAGCTATTCTCTCCATAATGTGCTTTAGAAGTAGCTACTGGGTCGCCTGGGCGGCTTAGTGGGTTTAGTGTCCAACTTTGGCTCAGGTCATGATCTTGCGGTTTTGTGTGGGGTTTGAACTGTGTAAAACTCTGCATGACAGCTCAGGCAGACCTGCTTCCGTTCTGTGTCTCCCTCTCTTTCTGCCCCTCTCCTGCTCATGCTCTCGCTCTCTCTCTCTCTCTCCCCACCTCTCAAAAATAAACATTAGGGCGCCTGGGTGGCTCCAGTATAAGTTAAAAGATGACCGACTTCCTCCGGCTCAGGTCTGCTTGATCTCGTGGTTTTGCATGAGGTTCAGGCCCCGCGTTGGGCTCTGTGCTGACAGCTCAGAGCCTGGAGCCTACTTTGGATTCTGTGCCTCCCTCTCTCTCTGCCCCTCCCCTGCTCATGCTCTGTCTCTCTCCCTCTCTCTCTCAAAAATAAATAAATACTAAAAATTTTTTTCTTAAATAAACATTAAATATATATATTATATTTAATATAATATATATTATGTATATGTTATATATATATAGATATATATATATAGCTACTGAGATTTTGCTGAAAGATATTTGGGTGTATAATTGCAAACTGAGCAGGAGATGATTTTGTAGACGACATATTGAAAGGAAACCTCTCCCCCTTACAATATCTAAACCCCAAGGCCATTTTCTTTGAAAGTATGGCCTTCAATGAAGTACATTATTTCCATTTTGATACACAGTTAAGTGTTTAATAAATGTTTGAAGGAAAGGGGAAGCAAGTATACATAAGAGAAAAAGAGTCAAATAATACAGAATATGACAATTTTTGAAAGTGTATACTCATAAACAACTCCATGCAGAGAGACATGGATCACAGTCCTTTCAGAAACAAGACATTCTACCTTGGGGCAGAAGCCACCCAAAGCAGGGGGGCAGGATGTCATAAACTGGTTTTGAGAAATAAAGGGAAGAATAAATTTCTCAAACACAAGTAGATTTTTACTTAGAGGCCAGTCTTAGAAAACATGGTTTTCACTTTGAGGAAAACACAGTCTTCAGTGTTGCAGGGATAACACTGGAGACTATAAATTTAATTGGCTGGTAAGACTAGTCTAGCTGTTGATATTTAAGGTAAATTAACCCAGCAAGCTACAGTTATGCCTCTTTTGGAAAAATCGAATATTCTTCAATCTCAGTAAACCGGAGCTGCAGCTTTTAAAATTTATCAACACCTAGTATGAGCTTTAGTGCTGACATTTAAAGCAAGAGAAGCATTATGTCAAATAATTCAGAGTGTAGGCTTTGGAAAGACCTGGATTCCAGTCTCAGCACTACAGTACGGTCTGGGGTAAATTACTTAGCATCCATAATTCTGAGTTTCCTTAGCCTGTTATTATCATGGTTAAGAGTATAGCTACCAATGTCAAGATTCAAATCCCAGCTGTCACTTACTAGCTATGTCATCTTAGGAAAGCTACTAAATTCTCTATGACTCAGTTTCCTTAAATGGAGTTTGAGAGAGAGAAAAATAGTACCTACCCCATTGGATTGTTGGTATTCATTCATCCCTGAATAAATTTCAGCTGTGTCAGTTTTTGTGTCAGTAACCTCTAACTTCAAATACTGAGTATATTTGCTATCTTCCAGAAACTTAGAATCTGGTTATAAAGATCAGGATAACACATATGAAAATGAAAACAATATAGGATATTTATAAGTAGGTGTTAAAGAATGTGATAAGACAATAAAGGTTTATTGATTCAATGATTATTAAACATCCAGTGTGCACCAGGCAGGCACTAAGTACCGAGTACTAGAGGGTGAACTCTACAGGGTCCTTGTTCTCAAGAAGATACTAGTAGGCAAAACAACAGTGAAATAAATGCTAATGTAGAGATTAGTACTGGGGGTGGTGGGAACTCACAGGAGGGGCATATGGCCTGGTTTTAAGAGGTTAGAAAAGGTTTATCAGAAAAAGTAAAATCTGAATGGGGAAGGAGTTAGTGTTCTTGGTAGGTCAGACAAT